TGTAAAGCTAGGGTACAAGTCATGTTACTAGCAATAATATTAAAAATGATAGTTTCTAGTGTAGATATCAAATAATGTCTTGAGCACCAGGCACCCAACTTTGAAGCACTCACAAATGTGACTTTCTGCCTCCTTCCTGTCATACCTACACGTTCCTCCTGTCAATGGAAGAAGGAGGCTCATGTTCTAGAGGTCCAAAGGAGAATAAGAAATGTCTCCAGGCCTTTTGCTTCTGCTTTTTTAGGAAATGGGTGAGCAGATGTCCCTCTTCCTACAGGGAAAACCATGACTCATAAATGAGAGCATATTTAAAATGTAAAGGATCTGTCAGGTGAGGCTTGGTCACAGCAAGAGTGGGATTAATTCAGAAGAAACAGATGTGTTTAATGGCCACTGCATTTGTCCAGAGAACTCATTTTCCCTGGCCAGGAGCCCAATTAAACCTGTAAAATGGAAATCCAGAAAATCAGATTAACGAGCCAGTCATTAGTAAGGAAAAGATCCAGCTAATTCTGTATTTAGCATGACGGATAGGCTAGGAACAAATAACTGGATGACATTCATCAAATGTAAAATAAAAGGTGCCATGAAAAGGAAAGTGGTAATAATCTCTGGAATTTACAGTGCCAGCAAATTTGCTGGTTAGGAAGGGAAAAGTTCATCAAAAGAGATTAATTGTCACTAAACTTTATTCCTTCCTTGTGTGTTTGCCAGAATGTCACACAAATAATCCTGGAGAGGCAGCAAATGCATCAGCCTGGTGTCATCCTAACACGGTGAGGTCTCTGCTCCTGGGATGCTAAAACTTCTAGGGGAAAATGTCTTCCTTCCCCACACAGGGACTAGGCAGAAAGGGAGAGTTCTTCAGGGTGTCCGCGACTTTGGCCCCAATCAGTGACAGCAATCAAACTCACAATCTCCTTGAGTAAAACAAATTAATCCAAACAGCCAATGATTCATTTAGTCAAGAACTATCCCTTGCTTTGGACATGCTCCTGTGTGGCTATGGTTGCACATTCCTGGTAAAGCTAGAGCTGCAAAGCCCAGGTTCACATTCTGGATTTAACAGCAAAGTGTTGCACGACTTTCTGAGCTGTAAGGCAGGGGCGTGTATCCCCCAAAAGGACCCTGTCTCCCTGGCCATCTCCTGATTTGGAGTGCAGTGTCTGTAGCTTTGCCTGATTGGGCATTCATTTTGGTAACTGCAGAAAAAAAGCTCCTGCTGAAACGGAGTTAGTCCCAGGACAAGTATGTAAATACAGGGTGGGAGGGGGATGGGTGGTGCAGCGGGGGACAGGAAAGGCTTTACATCCACGAGGGCTTTTATTTTCCATTTGGGACTTGGAACCAACGAGCGATGCCATTTGTAAGTCTTGCTAAGGGAAGAGCCGTTCACTGTTTTGAGGGGGTGAATGAGCTGATGGACACTACTGCAGGCTTGCAGAAGCAGAGCGGCTCCCTGGACCACTTCTGAACACACACACAAACACATTCCCATCAGAGATGGACCTGGGGGCAATTCTTCGGTGAGCATAAGCTCAGGGGTCTTGTGAGTGGCGTCCTCAGCACCCTGAGGTTCACAGGGTCAGCCTCCAGTGGACCACAGCCGAGTCTGTTGCCGTCTTGACACTTGTTATATTCTTATATAAGACATTATGCAGAACAATTTTTGTGCAAATTGTTTCAAAGTTGTTTATGCAGGGTTTGAATGCACACCCGTGTTTTCATTGTTTCGAGTGACCAGTTTTCCCAGTGTGCTTAAGGTAGAACTTGGCCTGTACTTTATCAACACAAGAACCCGTCCACCAATGTGCCCAGATCTGACAGTGGGCCGAGACCTTCCAGGTCAAAGCACGTGGAGCTGGAAGCGGAGAGCCTCCTGTGTACGTTATCACCCGAGCATGTTGTGGATTCATGTAAATTATAGTCAGAGGGGGCCACTGTGCCGAGTTTCCTCCGTGGAACTCCCGACATGTCCCTGTGCTTGCGGGAGGGTGTGCCCCGCTAGTGAATATAGACATTAAGGTCACATCACCTCCCCAGACTGTCCCCCACAAGTCGGGGGTGGGTCCTCATGTAGGACCTTACAGCTGCTCCTAGTTGTAAAGTCTTGCTCTTGTAAGTGCCATTGTTGTACGGTGGAGGTTCCTAGACCTTCCTTGGTGTGGTTTTACCTTTGTTGAATTTGTATAAGCAATTGTCCAAAAAAAAATTTAGCACCACATGAGTATTTCCTATGCACACCTGTGATTCTGAGATGTCAAAAGTACTTGAAGAACCTCTGGATTCTGTAACCCTCATGTGACCCCTTCATACTGTGGACCATTCCATGATACATCGGACAGAATTTTTGTGTCTGTCACTCAAGCAAATCTCTCCCAGCCTGTATGTGTGCACGAGTGAGCCTGTGTTTATGTGTGTGAGAAAGAGAGAGAAAGGGGAGGGAGGGAGGAAATGAGGGAGAGAGAAGTGAGGCATTGGCTGTGCAATGCAAGGCTGGTCTGAATTCCATGACTGTGACCCTGTAAAGGGCACCATTCTTCCCTGGAGCGTGGGGTGACTTGGAGACCCCACTGGGCTTCTTGCAGTTTCTGAGTTCTGATCAGTGTTCAGTGATGAAACTCGCCCTCTTTGATGCTGATCTAATTACCCGAGGGAGTATTTGGCAGGGCTCAGGATATTGGGGGATGGGCTGGTTTGTTGATGACTTTTTTTTTAAATTTTGAGGTATCTTTAAGCTTTACAATAGTTATATGAGTCTCCTTTAAGAGTAATGAAAAGGTTTTAGAACCAAAGAGAACTGTTGGTTGAACCACATTGTCGATATTGCGGACATATGGTATTAGATGGCATTCTGTTGCATATTTTATAATGCCTTGTGGATTTTGTAATGATAATTATAATAGAGATGATAAAGATTGCCATAACTATGCACACAGAGTTGCGGAGTTCAATACTCCTAGGAAGAAGGCAAAGGGTCAGGATGGATGAAGAATCAGAGGTGTCTGGAAATTCTTAAATTCCCATTTGTGTGATGGTTCATATATGTTGCTTAGGTGTACAGCAGCAACAAAATCTAGGAACTTATTACGAAAGAAAATTCTTGAACTCAAAGCCCATAGATTGCACCCAGCAGTCTGACTTGTAAGAGATTAAAATTTTAAAACAATGGATTTAGTTGTTGAGTAAGTAAGTGTGTGTTTGCATGTGCTGGTTTTATAATTAACAATAAAACTAAATTAAAAATAAATAGGTTTGTGTAAGGACAATGGGGAATGACTGGGAGTCCAGACTCAAGAATTATATTTTGGGCCCAGCATGGTATCCTAGCAGCTAAAGTCCTTGCCTTGTATGTGCTGGGATCCCAAATGGGTACTGGTTTATGTCCCAGCAGCCCTGCTTCCCATCCAACTCCCTGTTTGTGTCCTGGAAAAGCAGTTGCAGATGGCCCAAAGCCTGGGGACCCTGCACCCACATAGGAGACGCGAAAGGGTTTGGACTCCTGGCTTTGAATCAGCACAGCTCTAGCCATTGCGGATGCTCAGGGAATGAATCAACAGACACAAGATCTTCCTCTCTGTCTCTCTCCTCTCTTTACATCTGACTTTCTAATAAAAATAAAATAAATCTTTACAAAAATATCTGTTAAAAAAGGAATTTTAATATGATTCTGTGCTCTTCAAAAAGAAAAAAAAAAACTACTTCTCAGCCAACTCATTGACTTCAGTGTTTAACAGCTACCTTTAAGCCGACACAGAACAATACAGATTCTGAAGAATAAATAAAGCCCTGGAATGTAAGACAAGGGTAATTCTTGTTTGAAAGTAGAGACCTAAGAGTAGTGCCAAACATTAGTCAAAAACCAGGGAATGTCTCCTCTGTGTTCACAGCCTAAGATTTCATACCAAGCTTTCCCCAAACCTTCATTTTCATTTCTATCCTAGCATCTGCTCTACCCATCAGCTGCTTTGTGGGTTTCCAATCTGGGTGGGGTTGGGGGGAGCCATGGAAGATACAGTCCTCCAAGTGAGGGGTGCAGGGTGGCTGTTTGTAGAGATGCCCCTCTTTTTCTGCTCCTAGCAGTTGTTGTGAATAGGTGCCAGGCTTGGACTGGAGTGGACAGACTGGCCCGTCTCCAGCATGTGCTTGGGTCTTAGTGAGAACAGAGTCTGGGCCTCAAGTAATTGCCTCCTCAGCACATCAGCCCAACTGCTATTGTTGTCCTGCTATTTTCTCTGAACAGGCCATATTATCTTCTCCTGTGAATATTAATTTCCCCGTGAGTTAAGATAATTGGGCTGAGAGCAGCCATCTGCAGAGCTGGGTTTGTTGGCAGGACACTCTAGCAAGTCCATGCCAGAAGATGGTTTCTTGGAATGGTTTCCAAGTCATGCAATTGGGAATCCATCATTTCCCAAGTGAGGTTATAGGACTTGTCCCTAGCCTGTCAGTCATGAGAGAGCAGAGGTGGAACTCAAACCAGTTCAGACTAGAGTTCTTCCTCCTAACCCTTTAAGTAACTTGCACAAGGGGAGAATCAATTATCTCCTCAATGCTTAGATTTGTATATAAAAGCAAAACATCCATACTTAGATGTGAAGTAATGAAAACTTTGAACAATAGCAGTTTTTCATATCTAGAAAAAAATTCCTTTGACAATTATGCCAAAAATGTTTGTGAAGAACAGAATAAATGGATTGTGGGTGTAATCCCCATCAATAGTTTCTGTTTTTGGCTGAAAATATTTAACAGGTGCACTATACCATATTCAAAGAACAGAGACCAAACAGACACAGAGCCCATCCCTGCTCTCCCAGAGAATTCAGACAAGGAAGGTTGTTGGAATTAGCCATGTGTCATCGAGCCATGTGTCAACTGGACATGGGTGAAGCGACTTTGGGTGAAGACTCAAAGCCAGTGAAGGAGAGTCTCTAAATGGTAATGACAAACTTACAGTCATGCTAAAGTTCCCATCTCTTGATGTTTCCCTTTTGATCCAGGTCACCACTAGTGGAAGAGCCAGCTACTACGTGTCCTACCGAAGAGAGGCCTTTGCTCAAATAAAGCTGCCCAAGTACTCCTTGCCAAAGGTAATGTATGCAGCACCTGCTGCCGGACAAATTGTTGGGCCATGGGGATATTAGATGCCTGGCTGAGAGGACTACTGGCATTAACCTGACTTACCACTGGGCGTTTTAGCCTCTGTAAATGTCGTTGAACCTGGGCTGCATATTCCCTTCCCAGCAGGGCACCAGACAAGAGCTTTGATTTCCTGCAGCTAAAATATCTGGTATGGCATTGGGTCACTTCCCAGGGGCGGTAGTGAAAGAAGCACTGGCTTTAAAAATTTGTTCTGCGGGTCCCACTGTTTTACATAGACCGTATTGCTAAATAGGAAGCCAGGTTCAGGCAGGAACAATTGTGTGTGTGTGTGTGTGTGTGTGTGTGTGTGTGTGTGTGTGTGTGTGTGTGTGTAGTCTGTTGCTATGTGCTTCTCTTAATGTTTTAATGCTAAGTCTAAATACACTACTTATCTTTCTGCTCCCCTCTGCCAGTATAATTAAAAAGGACTGACAGAGTGTTAATATCAAATTTTGCCATTCAAACTCTTGGATGAAAAAAAAAACATAAAATGTACCCTATAGATTTCCATTCTTTCCAAACATTGGATTCTGGGCTAAGGGGAATCTTAGAATCCAGGTGGGAGCACGAGGGTACAGAAAAGCACAGTTTCATACTGGAAACATACCTAGTATAGTGACGCAAAGATGACTGCCTCTAAACTGGTGCTAGGGCGTATAGTGGTAATGAGAGAAGCTTTCTCTGGTCCTTACTTAGTTCCAGCTTTGGATCCCCACCCTCTCTTGCAATGACCATCAGGGTCACTCTGGAGCACCCCCCCAAAAAAACCAAACAAACAAAAATTAGAATAGATAGACAGAGAGCAGCAAGGAAAGCTTAGAACCAGGAAACAATGAGTATGGATTCACATATACCTTACTAGTTAGGACACAAAGATTAGTTACTCCTCACTAAGGTATTGAAGATCTCTCTACACTCCGCTCCTAAAACAGTTCTGCATCTCAACTGTTGACATATGCCTTGTTAGAGTTATAAGCTAGTTTAGACTACCCTAAAATCTGCCAAATTCAGCAAAATTATGCTTCAACACTATAAACTGCTAAATACTAAAATGAAAATAGACACAAGACAGCTGAATAGTATCCTGCAGCCATTTTAAGGTGTATAGCAGCTGGTTCTGTATACAAACTAAAATTGAAATGTCAATGAAGTAGTCACAGGATGTCATTAAGAACTTGCATTTTTTTAAACATATTGGATACTCAATACCATGTCAATTCCATAATGTTGTAAATTGTTGTTGATGTTATGTTGGAGCTTTTAATTGATTGGGATGATATTCTGCCAGCTCTGCCTTCAGACCAGAGTTGGTTTCCCCAAGTAACATTGAATTTATCTGGACAATAAGAGGCTGGACTCTATGCTTGGTATATACTTGCAATGAAAGAATCTTGACTAAATTTGAACTGTAATACTGCAACAAGGTGGAGGAATCCACCATTTGTGGTGGCAAAGGGAGGGGTTGGGGAATCCCAGAGGTTATGAAACTGTGTCACATAATGCAATGTAATTAATAATAATAAAATGCAATGCAAAAAAAGAGAAACAAACGTAGGCAATTTACTGTCCCATGGTTGTTTTTATACATTAATTTCTCATGTATTCATTCATTCATTCATATGTTCTTTCTGTTTTGTTTCTTTTTTCTATGCCAGATATTGAATTAAACTCATGAACAGAATATTGAATAAGAGATAAACGTTCCTTGTGATAGTCTCATAGTGAACCGAGAAGCAGTTGTGGGTGGTAGGTTTAGGCAGTGTTAGAGCAGTTCAGTAGCCACCTTGGAATAGAAGTAGCGCTAACCTAGTAAGGTTGGTGAGGGCAGTTCTCTAAAGAAACTGGTACAACAGGGCTAAGGCATTAATCCTAAAAACAAAGATGGGGAGAAGCCAGCAGAAAATTGCCTACGATTGGTATCATTGGGAAATCTGCTTCATGAACTGCTCAGATTGCAAAATGACCAGTTGCTTAAGTCCCTTGTATAAATGGTGTAGTATTTTTATATGATCTACGCATTTAATATGCTTTAACTATAGTTTACGTATGATACCTAATACATTTTAAGTGCTGAGTAAGCAGTGCTTAAGCGGTGTTGTTTATGTCACAATGACAAGAAAAGAAGGCTGTATGTATATCATGCAGATGTATCTATCATAGGCCTAATTTATTTTTTATTAGCAAAAATCCATGGATACAGAACTCGTCTGGGGAGGCTGGGGTCATTTAACAGCCAAACTGAGAGACTAGGTTGCAGAGAGAGCAGAGGTGAGGCTGGTGAGGCAAGCAGGGCCGGGCCCATGTCTTAGGGACCGAAGGGACTGATTTCTCATTTGCTCTGTCTTCTCTATGATTGGCTTTTATGGGGCCATTGTAGAGAATTGTGGCTGCAGTGGGTACTCATTGCGCATTCTACACCCAAATAGAAAAGAGGAATTCCAGCTTGGAGCTGATTAGTAAAGGGACATTTATTACCGTGCTCTTGCTGCAGAATTCCACTTCACAAGAAGCTCCAGATTTTTATGTATTGTACTAGAAAATGAGGTTCTGAAACTTTCCAAAACTTCTTCCTGGGATAAGGTTTATAAACCTTCCAGGAAGGTTTATTATTATTGTATAAGGTTTATTATTATTTCCGCAGCATGTGCATATTTTATAGACTTTTAACTTTCTCAGGGAAACAAATAGTTCCCTCCCCTGGGCAGTGTGACTGCAGGTGGGAACCAGTGAGGCCTCAGATTGATGACATCCCTAGAGCATCCCATTAATGATCAGCAGCACTGTGACCATTTATTGTGGTGGCACACCTTCCTGTGCAGGCAGCCCCTTTACAGAATTCCATCCTGAGCGCCTTCTCAGGAGTGTGAGGGCTGCTGTGAAAATAGCTGGATGGCTATCGATCCCCATTATTTACCAGGGCTGGTCTGGAATTTTCATAGTCAAGGTTGAGGAAAGTGGGGGTAGAGAAGGTAGAGGGAGATTGGTTCTTTCCACTATTTGAGAGTGGAATTGGCTTTTAAGGTGGTTGTTGGTGGTGTTCCGTACAGTGCTGTGGCTGCTGTTGGGTGTCATGCTTATGAACGAAAACAGACAAAAGCCACCTGTTATCATTTGCTTTGCACCTCTGTGCCCAGCCTATGAGCTCAGAATACGCTCTCTTGGGGAACTCAGTGGCTTGGAGTGTTCTGCAGAAAAAGAAATGAGCACCATTAATAATGAACAGCATGACTACGTGCCAGGCCCTCCATAGCTCAGTCTCCAGGCAGTGGTTTGCATTCTCTGCCCAATGGGCATGAAAAGCATGCAGCAGCACAGTGCCTGGCAGCCAATGATAGGGCACAATTCTAGTCAGAGGAGGGGACATTTGGGCATGTGAGCAGATATCCTGAACTTTCCCTGTGGCTCTGAAACTTTCTTATCCATGGGTCCAAGTCTTCTCATCTGGGAAACAGCAATGGTAATACTATTTGACAAAGTTGTAAGGATTCAATGAATGGCTCATTGTTGGTCTAGTGTGCAGTTGTATGCAAATCTAAGGCATGATTATGACTTATTCTGATCCTTGAGGGAATAACAATGAGGTTGTTAAGACATGGGCATGGGAATCAGTGCTCACTTTGGGATCATGTCCCTGCTGAAGTGGGACTCAGTATTGCCTAAGACATTCATTTTATCACCCTGAGTGATGTGCCTTCCCTTCTCCATTACATTCTGCACATATTCTTAACCTGCCACTCTAATAATCATTTCTACAGGAGAAAATATATTTTTAATGTGTTTCTATGTGGATTTTGGATTGGCATGACAGTGGTGGACTATGCATGAGCTCTGGGCTTCTGGAAATTGGCCAGGTTTGAGAAATCCCCTTGTTTTATGTTTGGCAAATGGCTTATTGCAAAGAATTTTACGACCTGATAAGACTCAGATGTCTGCCTTGTTTACGTGTAATAAGATCAGATTCCCATTCTTCGTCTCATAAATGCCTTGCTGCTCTGTCATCCTGCTGAGTAATCTCGACAAAATGCCTACAAATTTGACTTGACCAACATTAAGTCTGACTTTTCTCTTAGCAAAGTCGCTTCAACCCACTCATGACCTTATGTGAGAATTGGGTTCTTAGTAAGCTTTTCAAGGAGGAAGAGCATCCCAACAGCCTTATGAAAAGCAGCTGATCTCCAAGTAAAAGAATTTCTTGTCCCACTGTGTCTGCTTCCCCTATTCTACACACTGAGTTCCTTCCAACTTTGATTTACATTTCCCTGAGAAGGAATTAATTTCCATTCTAACTCTGTTGTAGTCACGGTTATGGTGGTCAAAATGTGTCCTTGTGATCGTCATTTGAAGTAAAGCCTAACTTTACCTAAGTCTTATGTTGTTTTAATTTGACGGTAGACTGCAGTCCATCCCACCTTGAATCATAAGAAATATGACTTAGAACACTTCTTATAATGACAATGAAAAAAGGTACTAACCATTTGCTTTCTTAGTTTTGTATTTCAATATATTCTAGGTTATTCTGTTCTGTTGTGTCATAGTCACACTTCTGAAAGGATTATTTGTAATTCTAAATTCTTTTCTTTCATCCTTGTGGCTCTTCAAAGCAGTACTGTTATCCTCTGCCATCACATTCTGCTCATTATTTTGGTAAACATCTTTAGCCAATGTTACTGCTGACAAGTTAGGTGCTAAATCCACGGGCCACATCACTAATTCTTTATTTCCATTCACCCTTTTAGAGCTTTTCATGCTGATGAGAAGATCTATACTTTGTAATCTTGCCCATTGGCAATATCCTATTCTGATTTCCTATTCTGGAGCACCTCCCTCTTTGCCACTATTCTGATGTGTTATTCCTAAGTTCTTCTGGCCATCTGCGTTTTCCTTGGCTTATCTTATCCTCTCTGATTTTGTCATATTGGTGAATCCTGTATCTATAGTCCTTGCCCATCACTCTGCATTGACTCCCAGGGCATATTCTCAGCTGCCTCACTGAACCACATTCTCTTAAAGACTCCGCTGGACTAGAGCTGGGCTCTTTCTCTGCATCCCATATGTCACCCTACTTCCATGTTTGCTTATTCTAGTAAATACTAGATGTAGAGTGATACAGTGATTATGTTTGAAGCTCCTTGCATTCCCAGGTTAGCAAAGTCACAATCTGACCTTACCCTTACTGTATGTCTCCTTCTTCAGCTTCTCAGTCTGTCATTATATCTCACCCTGCCTCTTCTCAGCAAATAAGCAAGTGGGTCATTCTTTAGAGTTAGATTGTGACTGCCGGATTCAAGAAAAATAATTTCATAATTGTTCAGATCCTTAGTGGACCTATGTTAGCTGAAAATTTTGTCATTCTTTAAGTCTTTCTGGTTATTATTGATTGAACCTGATTCGACCAGAATGCCTGTTTAGGGAGAGATTCTCCAAACCAAAATTATTTTTCCAGACTTTCATGTGACAGAATTTTTAGGATGGCTTGTTCAAATGGTAGAATCTGAAACTCTATATAACAGACATACTGAATCTTAATATTAGGCAGTGAGGCTTATGTGAGTCTACCTGTTATTAAACTCTCCAGGCCATTTTGATAAACATTAGTGGTAATGCTCCATTGATAGAGTCTGTAAAAGTTAGCTAGCTTCTTAAAAATTGTTGACTAATGTGTTTGAAAGTCATAGATATAGAGAGCTTCCAGCCACAGTTGATGACCCAAATTTATAAAGGTCAGGATTAGGCTATCATCAAAATGGAAGTGGAAACACCTCCCCTGTCTATATGGGTCACTGGGATCTATCATTTGCTGCCTTCAAGACTGTACATTAGTTGGACACTGGAGCTGGGACTGAGAGCAGGGGATTTAATCCTGGTCCCCTAAGTGAGATGGGAATCGCCACTAAACACCTACTCTAAAAGGTTAGCTTTTTACTTAAGACAGGCTTGGATTTAAATCATAGTGGTGCTCTCTATTAGCTAACTAACCTTGGAAAATGAAAGACTTTTCAAGAAGACATGCCAGAATCGTAGATTCTACTGTAGTATTTTAACCCAGAGCCTGGAGTACCTGTTCACCAGGTGGCACAGCCCCAGGGCAGCTATTAACGCAATACAAATTCACAGCAAACCTGGCTTCTTGAATCCTGACTATGCCCTGGTATTTTAAGCTGTGTTTTTCCACTTCTTTTACATTAGTTTAGTCTAAAATAACTTAGCTCATTCATTTTTATGACCAAAACATCTGGGAAAAACCAGGCATTTTCATTGCATTTTTAACAGGGTAAGTGAATTTAATCCGTGTTTCCTGCAGCTGCCATTTCCCCTCCTACTGGGTTCGCGGGCTTTCATTCTACACCAGCACAACACAATTTCATCACATGGTTTTTAAGAGTAAGGCTTCTTTCCATTTTCAAGAGCTCAGCAGGAACCTGCAATTCTACAAGATTTCTAAGCATAAATGAGCAAGTGAGGTCTCAGTCAAGGTGACCTAGAGGGTTCAAGGCCAGAGGCTGAGAACTGATACAGAATTTCCAATTAAAAACAAACATTATTTACTCTTCTCCTTCCTCCCAGTTGTCCAAATTAAACGATTGTGGCCCTTTATGTACCATCTTGAAGGATCTCTCCATGGCTCTTAACATTTTATGTATAAATGTCTTTTTTATTTGAAGCATTTTCTTGGAAAGGTTGGTCTAAAAAAAAAACAATAAATTAAAAATAGCTAAAGGTTAAACCTGCCTGATTATTAACATACTGTCAGATTCAGTTGACCATGCTTCTTCTTTTACCTTTGCTTTCCCCATTCGTGACAGAGGTGCCTGTTCTTCTGCTATGCAAGACCCCTTTGCATAAACACTTGTATATTTATACATTTCAGACAGCAAGCCATTTTGGCAAATGTTTATTCATGCTTCAGTGTCCTCTTTTGACATGTTCTCTATATAACATTTGGATCTGTGATGATCTGTGTGTAGTACTTAGCCACCTATGCGACCTGTCTTGCGAATTACTTGGAACTGTGAAATATTGATTTTGTTTTGGAAATAATCCTTTTTTGGCACTGGAAACTAACGTGACTTTAGGGGACTAGAAGTTTCCATCGTTATGCCAATGATAGGAAGCAAGAAAATATAAATTAAAAGACCGGGACCCCAATCATTCACACTCTATTGAAAAACTAGACACATGGGTGTTTGTGCTGAATATGGGTAAACTAAATCTTTGTTTCATGGACCATGAGCTTGAGATGCCTGATCTAGAAGCCATATGCTCAAATACTTGAAAGATAAAGATGTTAAAGTAAAAACAATGCAGTTAAAAAATGTTCTTCCCTTTACCAGGTATGTGACTAAAGCAAGTGAACTTCTGTATTCCTCTTTAATCTTGCAAAACTCAGCAAAGAATTATTTAGCCTTGCAGTAAGTAAAGCACATACAAATGGCCCAGAATAATGCTCAAATAGTATTTGTATCAGCAGCCCAAACTCTTCACTGGTTAGTTTCAAAGGTTGGGGAAGCTGACATATTCAGCTTCAAGTGTTGCTTAAATTATGATCCAGACCACTAAATTATGATCATGACCATTGAGTATATTTTCCCCTGTATCCATGATTTTCAAGTGTCATTTCATTAGCAAGAGAACTTCCCTTACCTTTTACTGCTCACAGGGCTTGAGTATGTGCAGTGTCCAATCAATTCAGAGTGAGAGTATGCCATACTACGCCCTACCCATTGGCTGTCTTCATGCCGCCCTTCTTGGAATGCCTTGACACCCAAGATCCTAAAGAAGGGTCTGTAAACCATCATACAGCAAACACTCTAAAATGATAATGAAGGTGAAAAGAAAGCATAGGCCTTAACATGCTTGCAGGTAAGCTTCCTCTTGCAGGCTTGCATTTCTCTGTTAGCACAAACACTGGCTTTCAGATATAAATGTAAAAATCAAAGTGGATGAATCTTCAAATCCATGGAAAATGATACCCACCAAAGCCCCTTACACCTATAAGAAACAGAAACCATGAAGTTTGTGATTTACAGCTTTGGTCCAACACGATTTGTCTAACGTTGCATGCAACTGAAGTTATTTTTTGTTCTCATCCGTTTCCTAAGCCATGGTAATTCCCGTGAGTGCCAGGGTGGAGAACATGGCGATGTGCTGCTTTATGGGCCTTCTGTCTTCTCACAGGACATGCACATCATCAGCACAGATGAGAACCAAGTGTTTGCAGCAGTTCAAGAGTGGAACCAGAATGACACGTACAACCTCTACATCTCAGACACGCGGGGGATCTACTTCACCCTGGCCATGGAGAACATTAAGAGCAGCCGAGGGCTCATGGGAAACATCATTATTGAACTGTATGAGGTATGTAGCCAGAAGTCTTCCTGGGATCTCCTGCTTGTTTTAAATGAGTTTTAAGGGCATAAACACAAGTATTGGAGCCCCTGTCTCAGATCCTAGCTGTGCCACTTGGTAATTTATAACTGGAGACAAAGAGCTTGGCTCCTCCCAATTCTGGAATGATGGCAATAAAATGGTTACTTGATTGAACCATTTTGAGAGGTTGTACAGTGTTTGTAACTCGTCTGGTATGGGGCTGCCTCGATAAAGTTGACCATCCTGTATGTTCAAGAACACTTCTACAAGGCTTGGAGAAATTAATCACATTATTTTTGTATAAAGGTTTTCAAATCTAGGTGTGTGGGTGAGCTCCAAACAGTTCATAGGCATTACCTGTTGTGTAAAAACTGCGGATTTAAAAAATTCCTACAACAAAATAAATGCGTCATATAATTTCACTTTTCACAGACATTTTGTTGTACTACCACACGAACATGATGATAATCCAGAAGTGAAATTGTTTGACCAGTTGGTGATCCCTTAAGTAGCTCTGTAAACCTGGCTGTGTTTTCTTGTGAATCCTGGATAGAAGAACCCGTAGAGTTGTGTATATGCCTCAAATTATTTGGAAAATCATACTATTTGAATACACCTTTTGCAGGGAAAATAGTGGCCCTCAGTGGTGACTGAGGATTCCCATACAGAGACTTGATGCCAGCGTCTGTGCAGCTGTTCTTTTTCATGTGGTCATCACTTAAAGGAAACATTACCTGAGACGCCAAATGACTCCAGGCAGGAACCACAAAAACAAATGCTAGTTTCTGTAATAGTAAATATGTGGTATTAAAAGAATAAGATTAATTTCTTTATTTGAAATAATTTTACAGAGAGAGAGATTGAGAGAAACAGAGAGACAAACTAAGAAAGAAGGAAAGGCCTTGCACCTGTGTGTGCACTCTCTATTGGCTGCCGCAGTGCGGGGCTGAGCAGGCTCAAGCCAGCAACCAGGAGCTTTAGCTCTATCCCCTTCATGGTTGCTTCAAGCCAAACATTTGGGCCATCTGCTGCTGCTTTTCCCAGGCCACTGGCAGGGAGCTGGATTGGAAAAGGAGCTGCTGGATATAAACCGGTGCCCATATGGGATGCTGACACTGCAGATGGTGGCTTTATCCACTGTGTGTGCTGCTTTTTTATGTCTAGTGATGGTATATGATGTTTTCCACAAAACTCTGGCCATGGTTAAAGGGCCTGACTGACCGACTGGAGATGATGGATTGATGTGAGCATAGAAGCTTCTCATTATCCAGCATTCACTTGGGACTGGTGCTCAAACCCCACTGACTGTGCTAGCTGAGCTCATTGCTGAGTTGTCTCTTGCAGGTGGCCTAAGTGAGTTGTATCCTTGAGGTCTCTTCCTTCTGGAGTGATGATGACTTTTAGATCACAGGGGTTGGTGCACACACTTCTACTTAATTATGGCTTCTACTGAGCAGGGCCTGCCCAAATCCCCTCATTTCATACTGTAGCCTAAGGTACCTGCTCAGAAGTATTTAAGGTTGTAGTTATCCACTAGAGAGAAGGATGAATGCACAAAGATACGGAGTGACGTACCAAGAGAAAAGGGTGAAGAAGAGTAAATGTCATTAGATAGAAAACAAAATCAGTGATAGTACCAACCTGATTCCTAGAAGGTCCCGAGCAGTGCTGAAAGCTTTCCCTTTGACAAGGTCCCATTTGAGAAATGTTTTCAATTTCTTTCTCAAGTCTTGTAGGCCAACAGAGATGACAAAGTGTTGCACACAGCTTTGGGAAACTTCCATGCATACCCCAAATCATAGTGGGAGGCAGAAATGCACCTTTGCTTTGCAGTAATAAGTCACATGTGTGAGAAAGTTTGGATTCTTCTCCAGGACTGAAGCCATTCCAATTCCTGTTTGTATAAGTAAGGTTATAAGAGATAAGATGGTTATTTATAGGGTTGGTATTGTGGTATAGCAGGTTAAGCTGACAGCTGTAGTACCATCATCCCATATGTGCACCAATCAAGACCAGCTGCTCCACTTCCAATCAAGTTTTCTGCAAATTTACATGGAAAAGCAGCAGAGGACAGCCCAAGCCCTTGGGCCCCTGAACCCATGTGGGGGACCAGGAAGAAGCTCCTGACTCCTGGCTTCTGCCTAGCCCTGCTTGTTGCAGCCTTCTACGGAGCGAACTGGTGTATAGATTTCCCTCATTCTCTGTATGTCTCTTCTTCTCTGTATAACTTCCTTTCAAATAGATAAAACAAATCAGTTTTTAAATGTATTTATTTGTTTGAGAAGCACAGTTACACAGAGACACAGAGAGATCTTCCATCTGTTGGTTCATTCTCCAAACTGACACACTGGTCAGAGCTGAGCTGGTCCTGCGCTGGAAGTCAGGAGCTTCTTCCAGGTCTCCCCCATGGGTGCAGGGGCCCAAGGACTCAGGCCATCCTCCACTGCTTTCCCAGACCTTTATGAAGGAGTTGGATCAGAAATGGATGCCGGCACTACTTAACCTACAACTCGGAGGCACCGGCCCTCGTGAGATAAATTGTAAACAACAACAAGAAAGATGATTTTTCATTTCCTTGAGGTCATACTCAAATAGGAAAGGGCGAGCGATGCTATAAGAGGATGTTGCAGTCAGGAAATATTTGTCTGTGACTGTTGACAGAGGGGGATTTTCCACGTGTGCCGTTGTTTCTCTGAGCAAGGTAGTGTGGAACGCTCTGGTCATTTAGAACACGAGACAGTGCCCTCTGAAGTAGACCATGAATCAAAATGAGGAATACCCTGATCTCCGTCATTGCTTTTTTCTTCCTGTTGAAGTTGGTCTTGTGTTTTAAGTCTTGTTGAGCGATAAACACTTAATGTCTTTGCATTTATAGAAAGAAAAATGTACTGGGCCCAGCGGTGTGGCCTAGTGGCTAAGGTCCTTGCCTTGAACATGCCAGGATCCCATATGGGCACCAGTTCTAATCCCGTCAGCTCCACTTCCCATCCAGCTCCCTGCTTGTGGCCTGGAAGGACAGTCCAGGACTGCACAAAGCCTTGGGACCCTGCACCTGTGTGGGAGACCTGGAGGAGGATCTGGGCTCCTGGCTCCTGGCTCCGGATCGGCGCAGCGCTGGCCGTTGCTCTCACTTGGGGAGTGAATCATCGGATGGAGGATCTTCCTCTCTGTCTCTCCTCCTCTCTGTATATCTGACTTTGTAGTAGAAATAAATAAATCTTTAAAGAAAGAGAAAGAAAGAAAGAGAGAGAGAGAGAGAGAGAGAGAGAGAGAGAGAAAGAAAGAAGAAAGAAAGGAAGAAAGAAAGAAAGAAAGAAAGAAAGAAAGAAAGAAAGAAAGAAAGAAAGAAAGAAAGAAAGAAAGAAAGAAAGAAAGAAAGAAAAGAAAGAAAAATGTACCATCCAGGGAAAGTTTTTAAAAACCAAGTCTGTTGAACTCGTTCTGCATTCAGTTGCACCGGGAATTATTTTGCTTCTCTTTTATGCTCAAGCATCTGAGAGAGGCAGGGCTATAGTTGATGCCATTCCTTCCCACAGGATCCTACTGACTGCTTTTTTTTTTGCACTGGAGAGGTGTGGGATGGGAGGGTCAGAAATAAGGATTTATCTGCAGGAGGTTGAAGTCAGTTGAGATGGAATCAAGAGATGAGATACTTGGAAATCAAACACGGCTTTACTGTTGAACAATATTACATAGGTGAGAGCGGAGTGGTAGTACTGTCTGTTAGGACTGGACTGGAGACAGTCGGTGAGGACTGGACTAACCCAGTCATGAACTGCAGACAGCTAAGTGAGAGGCGCTTCTCCAGGATCCTGTTCCTATAACAGGGCAGGGCTGAGGTGTGAGGTATCAGAGCTTGGAGTAAGAACCCACCAAACAAAAAATGGCAGGGAGCTGTACTGGCCCAGTTGTTTTTTCAAAGTTATTAGCTCTAGGGATGAAGCAGTGGAGAAGTGGGAGATATTTCAAATGTTAACGATGGCATGAAGCAAGGGTTGGACAGATGGTGTGGATTTGTGAGAAAGTAACTAACCAGTCTAATTGTATAGAATAGATGCTTATCGGGGATAAGGATGAGGGTTGATAAGTAGTTGAATTTCAGATTTCATTTGACATTTAATACCAAGTGAACAGATTGGAACTTGATGGTATCCAGCCCACGATCATACTGAAGAGTTTTAGAGGGCAGTTCTGCTTTGCACCTGCAGAAGTTTCAGTGGCTTAGAGATAAAGCTCCACTTAATTGGTCTCAGGGCTCATTAGAATTTCACCTTCTTTTCTGAAGATTTGCGTGGAAACTGAGATCATGTGCCATATGGGCCAGTGAGGAAAGAGATTGCAATTCTTCTAGATTCCAAGTGTCCTTGAGTAATACAACTGGGAAAACCAGTCAATGTTTGTATTCAAGTGAGTTAAATTAGCACACTTGCATGAAGTGTTTCATTTGATGATATGAAAACTTATGCATGAGGAACCCAGTCTACCAAGAGGAGGCAAGTGACCCAATTAAGGTGCTGGACGCAGTCTAGATTGTTTTGAAGGTGCTGCTGCACCATCCTGTGCAGTCGGCGAAGATGAGCTTAATTTTTATTTGGGAAATTTGGGGAGACACAAAGGTGCTTTAAGTAATAAACCATTCGAACTATGGAGAAGTCTGAAGAGCAGAGGTTCATGGTTGTGGAAGGTTGGCTGTCTTGTAGCACAGTGAGAATGAGAATCGTGAAGAGCTTGATTAGAGTTGTGCATTTGTTCTGTGTGCTGGAATTTCTGTTTCATGCTTCTTACCTGTCCATGGTGTAACCCTCTGCCCCAGTGTAGCACATCATTTTGTAATATAACAGGACATTCCTTACACATGTCTTTCTTTATCTGAGTTCAGAGATGCTTTGAGGTAATTATCCAGCGTCAGGTGCTTTGAGCTAATCTTGACCACTCCATCTTCTGTGTGGGCCTATCCAATGTCTTTGTAACAACACAGAGAAAAACAA